CAGAACACATATCGTTTGTATCCCCGTTCTGATGTCCCTGTATGAACCAATCAACATTGAAATTGGTATCGTTGTTATAACACAATTAGAATCCCCTCAATGAACACTCACAACAGCTGCGATCCCCTCGTGAAAAACATTGTATCTCATAATCATCCCCGAAAAAATGTTGTGTCCCATCAATTTTCATAGGTATCCCTACAAGTACTATGGTTTGACATAATCCGCAGCATATTGGGTAGTAAAACCCCCTATACTTACCAATCAACAGGGGGTGCTTTTAATGGCTCATGTTTCTGCTATACTAGTCCCTGTTTAAGGTTTTGGGGAAGACATTGTCCAAATATGAATCTCCCTATATTAATCTATATTAATGGCTCCATTTGACTCTTTGGAGTTGTATCAATATCAAATATCAAGGGCTGATATAATTCCCATTTGTGATCCCATCATTGTGATCCCATTGAGTCCCTATTGGTATGGCTAGTGAGCAGACATTCCTACTACAGTATTGTCATTATTGGTGATAGTTAATCATATAGTTCAAAATCCTCTATTAAAATGGGCAGTATAACCGTCTTTTGCATAGCCAATCCAACAGGGGTATTTAAATATCCCAAATACAAGTATGATTTGGTGTATATGCATTATATATGTTTTGTATATGATATTGGTGTATAACATATCTATCATAAATAATATAATATTATATCTCATATCATCTGTCATTTATCATATATCAAATGTCACATATCAAATATAATATGAGTCATATATATATATATTATCTATTATCTATAGTATTCTTATATTCATATGAATCATTATACGAATCATATATCATATTATATTATATATAAAATATATTCTATTAAATATTATCGTATCATTATATTAGAATATAGTATCCAATTCTGTATCATATCATAAGTATTCTACATTATATTTATACTACAAAAGCGACATTCTATTAAAATATGTAATAGATTATATCAATATATATCATTCTATTCTTTTCATATACTATATATGATCCAAGTGATTCTCCGAGATGCTGCCAGGTCCGGCTTGTCGATGGCGATCTGCCGATCAAAGCGCCCAGGTCTCGTCAGCGCGGGGTCTAAGATGTCAATACGGTTGGTACCTGGAGTCACCATGAAATCTTGGGAAAATCATCTCACTGGATTGGTTTAAGGGACAAATTACAGGAAACCATGATTTTTACCATCAAATATAGGGTTTTCCTGTAATTTTTCCCATCATCCAATTCTATGATCGTCGAAAAAGTGAGAAAACTCCCCCAGAAAAATGAGGAAAAAATTGGTGAAATTAAATATGAAGATCACCCAACTAGAATAGTGGTTATAATACCAATAATAGTGGTTATATGATGGTTATATGATGGTTATATCATGGTTATATCATGGTTATATGATGGGATTATAACATATTATACATATATATATATATAACTGGTTGGTGGTGCAATAACCATCTTGAAAAATGATGGACTTTGTCAATGGGCTTGGGATGACATCAACCAGATGGAATCTAACGGGATCTCGCCAGAGGGAAGATCTCATCGTAAAAAGTGAGAAAACTCACCGAGAAACATGAGGAAAACTCGGTGAAATGATGGAGATTTCACCAGGGAAGATCATGGTGTCGCGGGAATCTGATGGGACTAAGTTAGGGATTTCGCAGAAGGTTTTTTTTCGGTGTCTGAAAAAATCAGGGATCTACCCAGAAAAGGCAGTTTTTTCTAAGAACACTTATGATTGACCAGTAGATTTAGGGGAAAAGGGTATGGGTCAAGTCATTGGGTACCCCATGGTACCCCTTGCCATGGGATGGTTTGTTGTGGTTTACCATTCTAAAGATGGACCTAGATGGCTGGTCCCCTGACCAGCTTGAATGGCTGGACCTATCCCAGCACCGGAACATTCACCAACTACTGGTACTGCGTGAGACGGTGGGTGATGATAAAGGCAGTTATGTCGATGTGGCTGTCGATATGGCTTTGTCTGAAAATAGGGGGATACCCACAAAAATAGCCGCTTTAACAAAATTGGAATTCATTTAAAAAAACAAAATACCCACAAATAGCAATTTTTGGGAAAAATGCTCATATATCATAATCCATGGGAATTCCATTGACAAATTCCATTGGGTCACTGGGGGTCCCCAATTTTCCGGCCTGCTAGGACAACTACACCGGTTCCCGAGGAGAAACCATCCTGGCGCGGTTCATGGTGAGAATCCCCAGAGATTGAGTAGATTTGGAGGTGACCTAATAGGGCTACCCCCAGCCAAATCATCCATTTATAGATGGGATATGATGGGATGCTCCATGAAATAAACCATGGGAGCCACCTCTTAGAGCTGGTTGGTGGTTGACCTAGCACTCTGAAAAATTACTTTACTTCGTGTGATCCCCACCATGACATTTATACATTTTCTTACTGGCAAATCTTCTGGCATTCTATCTGACATATCTTCT